CGTACTTAGCCAGCTGGAGCAAGAGAAGAAAAACGAAGATCTCCGTAGTTAGCAGCGGAAGTCTTAAGGTTAGCTACAGCTGCACTAAAAACATTGATCAATATTTAACCAACATAATATTGTAAGCTATAACAAATATTAAGCAGAACTAGTTGCCTTGGTAGCCATGATGATCAAAAATGTAATTGTCGCAAAGGTATCCTCTGTCCCAAGAACGGTAAATCCATGAATAAAGGAGTTATCTATAAGGCTATCGTCAAGCACAAAAGACCAGATTATATTTTATTTTGGAACTACCGCTAATAGTTGGAAAAAGCGTTTCTATCGTTATAAGATGACACTTAGCAAAACAAATATGCAAACGCCTCAGCACTCATTAAGTGTTACTGGTGCATTGAAACAGATGCCTACACACCACACATAAATTGGGGAACTAAGCCATTTTCCGGTGGGAGCGGGGCAATTCAATCTATATCTATTACAAAAAAAATAATCCTCAGAAATACTAGCAAGTGTAGGTCTACTTAATAACGAGCTGATGATAGCCTGTAGGCACAGGAAATCGTTTCTCTTAAAATACTAAATACCAGATTAAATTAATACGTTTGATTTATCCAAATACACACACACACACACACACACACACACACACACATATATATATATATATATATATATATATATATATTATAGTAATAATGATAATAACTGGACGCTAGAGTAACCAATAGCTGTTGCATACGCCATATATAAGTATATATATATATATATATATATATATATATATATATATATATATATATATATATATATATATGTGTGTGTGTGTGTGTGATGTGTGTGTGTGTGTGAGAGAGAGCGTGTGTTTGTGTGCGTGTGCATGTGTGTGTATAATTAAATCCACTGACTTGTCTTAGGAGAGCTATCAATTAATTATTTTTACTTGTTTTTCCTACCCAGAAAATATTTTCTTCTTCAATAGACACACTCAAATATCTATCTATCTACTTTTGGACGTTCCAAATTTGAAAATAAATAAATAATTGTTATAATTCTTTTTCTATCCTTTGCAAATGATTCAAATTTTAGTATGTTATTATGGATGATAACGGCTACCAGTTGTCAAAATTTCAGCTTTTCACAGTTGTTATTTCTAACAAATATTAGGTTTTAAAATTGTGTCCCTTAGTTTTGGACGCTACTGTATATATATATATATATATATATATATATATATATATATATATATATATATGGTATAGGACATAAATGAATTAAATCAACCAATTATTTAAATAAGCAGAGTTAAGCGGACTTGACCAGAATTAACATCAATTACTAAGTGTACCTTCGTGTAGTAAAACTTGTATTTCATTACTTACCTCCGAGTTTGTCTTTCTTATTTATTTAACTCTGTTGTCGGGAAACACGATGCAATACTATATTCTTAGAGTTCGGATATCTTTGGGAGTCTGTCATCACCGCCCGCGTCCCCTTGAATGATTTTGGGAGGATTGGTTTCACAACATCTTCAGCATTCATTGGACAAAACCTATTAACAAAAATAGAGTGCTGGAATGGGTGGGGAGATCTCTGTAAAACGACCGACTAACATCTGTCCAGCATAGTGCTGAATGGTGAAGGCTTTACTAGCAACTCTGACAGTGAGCCACTCGCAGATGTAATATAAAAACGGTAAAAATTTCTAAGGACTTGTCAAAGAGACAATCCTCTGTAGTTTCTTCTAAACGCATACCATGACACTTTGCGACACACAGCCCATCGAATTACCTCGGAGAATGAACCATGAGCTGACTCAGTCTACAAGAGAATTAAGAGGAAAGCCATATGAATCATAACAGCACAGCAACCAATACGACACAAACATTCTCGTGCAATCGTTTTAGACATATGTGTCTGTCAAACATTGGATAATTCAGCCAACAATTGTCAGCAGTAGTCGTTTACAGCTGCATTTCTAGAACTTTGTCTGCGAAATCAAACAAAAAAGGAAAGAAAAATCTTATTCCAAAAATTAGTAGCAGATATTAACACTGTGTTGCCCGCGTTGCCAAGTTAGCAGACACCAGGATTAATAACAAAGAGAAATGCCACAGTAGGAATAAAGAAACCTCTTAATTTAATGCTTAACTTCTTCACCAAAGAGAGACAGATTAGGCCGATATCGCTCGAGCCGTGGGAGACGATGAATTCCGTCTTTCTTGGTTATTCGCGAGGAAATGAGTTTCTTGATTGAATTAATTTTCTCACTAGAGCGGGATTGTCGCGTAACATATTTTATTAACATTTTTATCTGTTCTTATTTATATAAAGAGCAGATAATGTTTTTGAATTCCCACACCTGCATAAAAGATCCATGTGTGTGACTAGCTTGATAATTCTTCTCTGACTGACCATAAATTGTGTTGGAAAAGAGTAAAATTCGTTTGTCAAATATTCTATATAAAACATGACTTTGAATCATATATTCTTTGTGCCGTAGCCTTTCAGGATGTAGAGGATAATGGCTCTCCACTTCTCCATATCCCTTGTAGTTCTCAATAAGTTTTGTCCCTTTGCAATCCCCCCAGGCTTTATTCTGTCATCCATTTGTTTAAGTCCGATCTGTATGTCACGCGATGCTCTCCCTTGTTCGCTCTTTCCCTCTATTCGACTTGTGAGTTTCAGATACTCCAAGGCCTCCTTTCTCATTACATGTGCCAGAAATTTCGGCTGCCTTTTTCTGATATTAAGCATAAACTTCCTCTTTGTTTAAATCTTCTCCAAAATCTCATCTTCGCACACACGGTCGGTCCATGGTATCCTAGGCATCCTTCTGTAGAACCATACCTCCGCTGCCTTGAGTTTCTTCTTCATCTTTGAGGAGATCGACCAACATTCGCTGCCGTAAAGAAGGACAGATGTCACGTAGCAGCTAGGTACAATTTTATTTCTTACCAAAGAATTCGTCCTGCCTCGCAGTATTTTGCCCACCTTTGGAATACGTCTTTGGCCATTCCAACACGTTTTCAGATCTCACTTAACGTCCTCTGACCAAATCCCTTCCCAGATATTTAAATTTACCTACCTGCTTGATTTTAGTGCCTCCGACCTGCAAATCGCATTTCGGCCTCATCTTTTTACTCATGACCCTGTCTCTTCTCACTCTCCTTCGCTACATTCTTTTGGAGGTTTTGTAATTTATTTTCCGTGTCTGCTATCAGTACTGTGTTATATGTGTATATTAACAATATGTGAAGATTGTGTCTGCCAATAATGAATCCCAATACGATTACCAATTCTCTCAGCATCCTTCTGTAGAACCATACTTCCGCGGCCTCGAGTCTCTTTTTCATCTTTGAGAAGATCGACCAACATTCGCTGCCATAAAGAAGGACAGATATCACGTAGCAGTTCAGTACTCTTTTCTTTGTTACCAAAGAAATCCTCCTGTCTCGAGATATTCTGCTTATCTTTTGGAATGAGTCTTTGGCCATCTCAACACGTCTTCGGATCTTACTGTCCTTTGATCAAATCACTTCCCAGATATTTAAATTTATCCACCTGCTTAATTTTAGTGTCTCCAACCTGTAAATCACATTTTAGGTGCATACTTTTAATGATGACTATGCATTCTGTCTTCTTGTTGATTATGTCCAGGCTCTTCTTACTCTCCTTCGCTACCTTCTATAGGAGGATTTATAATTTCTTTTCCGTGTCTGATATCAGTACTGTGTCATCAGTGTATATTATGTTCTTAAGATTGTGGCCTGCCAATGATGAATCCCGGTCTCAGAATTGCCTTGCTGTATAGGTTAATGGTATATTTTAATAGCGACCATTATGATGTCTGAACGCCTTCGAATGTTGATAAACGCCACAATGTTCAATTCTTTTCCGATCATTTTTTTACTGGACAATTAGAATGACTAAACATTTTTTATGTATCAATGAAGGAAGCGTAAACTCTTGAAAGACCGAAGATAAAAGTGATTGAATTTTAGCAAACTAAAATTAAAGACATTTATCATAGTCCAAATGATTCATAAAAAAAAAATAATGCTCTATGGACTATCCACCTCATTTTTGTGCCCATATTTATTATAACGTCTCGGCCGTTGTACGCACCGGCCTTCTTCAGGTGGTTGGAATGTCGAACTGAACACTTTATTTCGCTCATTGGGGTAGACTGTTCTAATTCCATACTTAATGGATGTTAGTTATCAGTTACCTCCTGTTAATTCACCTCTGCAAGTTCTGCCTTAACCGTGTATTTGAACTCACACTCTTTGGGCCCTGTCACTGGATCTAACCTTTATCCACTGTGCCATGTGTCCTTGAGAACGTGCGTATGAATTTCTGGGTATGATAATACTAATGCCTTCAGCAACCATTTTTTTACCAGTGCTGATATTGCAATCTTTTTGCTGTTATCATTACATGTTTCTACCAGAGCTCATATTGCAATTATCACTTTTCTCTTGCGACAAATATGGCGACAAATATGGCAAGAAATTGAGGATAATATTCCGAATAATGTAAATAGTGTACATAATACCTCATCCCAGAAATATAGACAGATACCAAAAGTATATTAATTTCATTTTAGTTCTAGGAATATTTAAAGGAGTATTCTTTAGCAATCAAACCCGTTAGGATTTATTGCTTTTGTAATTGAAAAAAAGCGCACTTTTATTCAACAAAAGTCGGTTGGAAAGGCGCATTATTATATGGGGAAAATGGGGATACTCACAAGACACACTTAAGGCAAAGGAGACAGGTGAAAACATAACATAAGTTACCTAACTACATTTCGGAAATGGATTGCAAACCAGGTTTTAATAGAAATAGCATAAAATAAAACTAAATTGTGAGTAGTCATGATCACCAACGTCCTGAATGTTACATTGGAGAAAAAGAATTGTGAGCAAAAACAGAAAGGCAACATATCATCACTTATCTGTTACTCTTCTTTTTTTTTTGCTACTCATATTTATCAGTCTGTTTATATCTATCTATCTATCTATCTATCTATCTATCTATCTATTTCATTCTGTTCTTATCTATCTATCTATCTATCTATCTATCTATCTATCTATCTATCTTGAACTGTTCATACTATCTTGGAATATTCATATGTATTTATCGATCTTGGACTGTTCATATCTATCTATCTATCTATCTATCTATCTATCTATCTGTAGTTCTGTCTGTCTTGTACTGTTCATGTGTATTTATCGATTGTGGACTCTTCATATCTAATCTTGCACTATCTTGTACTGCTCATATCTATTTATCGATCTTGTACTGTTCATATCTATCTATCTGTCTATATATCTATCTTTACACACACACACACACACACACACATATATATATATATATATATATATATATATATATATATATATATATATATATATATATAATATATACAAAATAACCAGTAAAAAACCTGCAAATTTATTATCACTGGTTTATCTTTCAGGAATAACTGAGCTTGAATGATCTTGAATAAATTTATTGCATATTTATGACCATAAATTGTTAGAAAATATATAAATTTTGTCAAATTCTTTTAAAATATGTAATAAAAAAAATCTTGTAAATGTCCCCTTGAAAGTTTTAATACGGTTCAATTAACATTGAGGTCTACGCGTTAAAAAGAAATTCATCAGTGTGAAACATTACAACATTTTAACGCCTTTCGTGCATAAATTATGAATTATAATATTTATTGTAATCTTTTATTTACTGAAATTTATGTATGTATACATTTAGTAAAAACCCATTAGGTCAAGGGAGTGGTGGTTCACCCTGGTTGTTTATAAAAGATATGCGCTTGGACTAATCGGCAGTCCGAGTAAGTGGCCACTACGGATGGCCTTGTAGTCACTACTGATGACATTGCTACTCCAGTCGGAGCAGACTGACAAGTACTCATCTTGCCGCATAAACTAAATGCGTAAAAGGTTACATTTCTTTGTTTTTTCAACGAATTGATTTAATAAAATATGAGATAATTATAGAAGTGTTTGAAACCGTTTTAAATTATCTTTTAAATTACATTTTTTACACCAGTATTTGCTAAAATTCTTAATTCTCGACTTGGTAATGTTGAGTGAAAGTGACATGCCCGTTTTACGAACGGATCGTGCATCGCGTGCAAAACTTGGTTAATTATCGTCAACACGACATTCAAGTATAATTTTGCCGTATTCTATAACCAAAGAACAGAATTATATGCAAATTTAAAGGATATGTAATACGGTTCGAACATAATAGGCTACAGATAAAACTAAAAAAAAACTGGTTTTAATCTTTTACAGGCATAATTACAGGACAGATTTACATTATATATACAGTATAACAGTCTAGACGAACAGAAGAAAAATTCGGAACACAAATCATCTGCTGCCCTCTAGGTCCTGCGTCTTTATGTCGTGAGAGGTAGCACTTGGTAACCCTGGTGCAAAATGAACTGACAAGCTCTTGCACTATTCAGCTTTGAATATCCGCCATGAAGCACAGATGTGAGATAGAGGCGAGTAGTGAACACAGCGGTGGAAAATGTGCTAACTGAATAAATGATGATATATCAAGAAAAAAAAACAATCATTTTTTTTTTCTTTTGTTTTTCTTTAAAACCTTTGGAAGTAAAGTCTGATGATCCGCAGTCCTTTAAAAGGGCTGTGGTGAAATAATTTATTACATGGAACCATAAAGTGGTCTGTTTTTATTTAATATATATATATATATATATTGATGAGCCGTGATATAGCGAAACAGTTGACCTGTGGATGACTATACACCCCCCTCTCGTAGATTGAGCACATTGAAAGAAAGGCAATTTGTAGGCTGATGCGAATTAAGGCTAAACGCTCTTCGTTATGAATTGAGCACTCTGATAGCCGATAATGCATACATTTCGTTTTTAATGCGTTAAAAATTTATTTTCTCCTTCACGCTGCTGCTGCCCTAAACGTGAGAGTCCTTGACTAATGTGAAATCGGTCGGACTTCGATCCGAGCTTGAAGCAATCGCTGTGATACAGCAAACCAGTCTATCTCTCGATGGTTATATATGATATAACAATATTTAGAAAAATAGTATGACAAATTGGAAAAAAGTATTTGCGACGTGTTTCCTCACTTAGGATTTCATCGGACTGGGATTTGTTGATATTGCCACGTCTACACATGCGCACGAAACTTATAGTTTCAAAATTCAAGAATATTTTTGGAAGTATGTTTTTTAAAGAAAATATTCTCAGTCAAGCTAAATTCATCTTTATTTTCTTTTTATTTTTCCCAGCATCCCCTTTCTTCCTGACTACCCCACATCATGATAACAGAAAATCTACGAATAAATGGCGATATATTGTAAGTTCTTGGAAGTAAATTTACCGTGGTTGATCCAGCGAACAAGTGGATTATTTTCTCTTTTAATCAAAGCAAAATTCTTGCAAAATTACGGTCAATTTCTTTACGTTGAACAACCAATATGTTTTGTGTGTTCTTATTTAATATATCCCTTTTGTGTTCATATAGTCATTTGTTTAAACTTCTTGAGGTTTCTCCAATGTATTCATTCTGGCAATTCCCGCATTTGATAGTTGTGACAAATGCTATGTTGAGTTTGGATTAATTCTTTTTGGTTGTAATTATAATAGTGTTAGTGGGTAGAATAATATATTTTTTGATTCAATGGGTTTGTTAGGAAGGTGATCTCTTCTATATGAACCAAAATATATGTGACATAAAGTTAGCTTAACATAGGTAAATCCTCCCTCCATAGCGTTTGGACCAATAAAGTCATATTCTATCACTTTCTTGCACTCTAATAGTATTTTTTGGATTGTAGAATCTGTATCTCATGAAAAATTTATTTTTATTTCTCTTTAAATGCTTAACGTTATTAACCTGACATAGTTTGGCAAAGTAACAATTACTCGATATTTTTTTATATGCTGACTCGTAAAACATTAGATTTGAAACTATGATCAATGGTTGTTTTACAATATTACAACCTGGGATGTTATGGAATTTAACTCAAACTCAGCTTACTTTAGATACAATTTGTATCATACAATGTTTTCTTAGATGACACTGATAGAGCAAATGAATATCTGGTATTTAAACGAACATCCATTTTCTGCTATCTATTTTCTACTTCTCCAATATGCCGCGTTCGTTCAGACATGGCCGATTCACAAACTCTTCCATGACATCCTGTACTTTAGAACTCTCATAGGTTTTCCTTTTTGTCATCTATCCTAATCTCTGTTGTGCCAATAATTTACACAATATTATTAGGCTTGTTATTTATTAATTTCCTCTTCTCCTCTTGCCGGAAATACGTCACGTGAGTATCAAATTCTCCAAGCACACTTTATTCATTATGCGCCATATAAATTTCAACAGTTTTTATTATTTTTATTATTATTATTTTGCCCTTTTTGTTTGATTTTTTTTTAAATGTCGTCACATGTTCGGTTCATGGTATTCTCTGTCTGTCCTGAATATGGCGATAAACTACATCCGCGTCCTGGGGAATACGGTAAGCTACGTACAACGAAAAGGCTACTGATCAGGAGGTTTTGAGGAGTGTGCAACCACCTCTTAATTGCTGGTGTTCCCAGGTCCACTCTGAGTCGAGATAGTAGCATCTGTCAGTGCCCCAGGTATGGGAAAATAGTTAACCCCCACAAAAAATGGGGCCAAAACACTATGAAAGTGTAAAAATAGGTTTCAATACGAAAAATACATTGTAAAATTTATTACCAGCAATACATTTTTGAAGAATAATTATTGCCATCAATATATTATTGAAAATATTACCAGCTATATATTTAAACAAAATATTAGCAATACATTTTTTAAAAGTATTACCAGCAATAAAAATCTTATCGGCATTAAATAATGGTTGATATGCTGTAAAACAAAACAAACCAAACTCTATATTTTTGGAGAAAATGTTACCAGAAATAGATTTTGAAGGAAAAAATATTACCAGCAATACATTTTTGATAAAAAGAAATATCACAAGCAATAAAATCTTGTCGACATTAAATAACCCATTGTGATTGATATGCCGTAAAACAAACAAAACCAAACTTCTGTAGAACCAGGTTTCTTTTGACTCAGGAATCTTCGTCATCTGTGAGGAGAGCAAATGAAAAATAACGGAAAATAATAAATATCTGAATTATTAACAAACGCAGAAAATATTTGATTTCAGTTTTGTTCAATGATACGCCACAAATAATAGGCACTTCATTTTTTTTTAGAAAATATTAAATATACTTCGACTGAAGTTTTCAAGATCCGATTCCTCCCCATCATTATTACCATTTCTTTATCATGCAAATTCTTGTTCAAAGATTCATCCGACTGACACTCTGCATATAAATCTGCGATGATACGATTTCTTTATTCGGATCATCAATTTTCAGTATATTTTAAGCTTTCATGACTTATCGCAAAGAAAATGCAAGGATAAAATCTTTCTTCGACAAACGATATGGACACAAATGGTGTAAACGAATCCAGATCGAATGTAAAATTGTCCAAATCAAAGGAAAAGAATCGAATTTTTAGGATTTAAATCAGATAGAATGATTCTACAACAAATATAATGTAGAACCATTTGCATACACACAGTAACACAGATTCTTTGACAATAATCGTTGGATATTTGGCAGCAACATCGCAAAAGATATGGTAAAAATTCAAGAGAATCTAACTGTCCAGACTCTACAAATTGAGGATTTTGATATGGTAGTCATAATAAAATAAAATTTACTCTGATGTGAAGCATGATTATATCAAAATTTATTTCCGTTTAAAACATTTAACTCTAAGACGATATGAAGTTATTTCAAACACCTCCAAGTATTATTTTTTAAATCAAAAATGAAACATTTCAAGAAAAAAAAAGTTCTTAATCAGTTAAAATGGGAAATACTTCTCAAAAAATAATACAAAACTGATATGATATAGTTTCTTTACATTGACAAACGTAAAACTTACAATTCATTTAGCTAGCGACATTATGGTAAATCTTAAGGGATCTTTGGATGTTCACTATGATTTTGATAAAACCTAGATTATGTATTTATTGAACAATAAATTCATTTTATTTATTGATCGAAATTATCTATAGAAATAGTTACAGAATGTCAAATTTTAATTCTAATAGTTAACAGA